CATGTTCTGAAAAATTATTATCATTTTTGGCCATAATTAGAGAGTTCTAAGGTTGTAGTCTAAGAGCCACTGTGCATTGCATTATGGGAATGAACAGACAGAAACCTTCTGTGTGAATGAAGCCTTACAAAGATGCTTCTTCAGAGCGATGGGCTGCAGCATGATGATGTTCCTCAGCCTCGGGCCCCGTGCTGCCTGGCATTGGCTGCGGGGCCTCAGTGACCCTCTCCAACAGAAGGTGGATGGATGGATAGACAGACAGATAGATGGATGAATTGATGGGTGGATGGATGGAATTGGCAGGAATTCAAACAGGCCTGCTTGGTGTTGATCTGTGAAGTGGTGGTCTGGCTGACCGCAGCAGTAACCACACTGGGGCTGACAGCCGTGTCCCGGCAGAGACGGGCTCTGCGAACGGCACCGGAGAAGCTGCGGAACCGCACGTCCTTCTCAGCCAACGTGGCACCCAGCACCCCCGGCACGCGGGTCAACCGCTACATCGGGCGTCTAATCGAGGCGCGGCAGACCGAGTCGGAGACCGCCGACCTGCACGTGCTCACGCTGACGTACCGGCACTCGGAACGCGAGCACAAGGTGAGCCGGCCGTCGGGACCCGGGGTCTCCCCATTCACAGTGCTGCTGCATTCTGTTACACGTCATTTCCTGCCTTATTCCCGTGACTCCTCCTGGCTGCTCTGGTTGACCTTTGACCCCTCCATCCCCCCCACCCTTGTTTCAGTACTACCAGGTCCTGGATGAGTACTTCACCAGCGCCGTCATTGTCTCTCTGGTCCTCGCTGCCTTATTTGGACTAATCTACCTTCTGACGATCCCACAGTACGTACGGCCTGCCCCCCCCCCCCCCCCCCGTGGCCCCCTGTCCCCGTGCTAACCGCTAACCCGCTATGTGCCTCCCCACCAGGGGCACCGTGGTGCTGGTCCTCCTCGTCTTCAGCGTATGCTTCCTTTCCGCCTGCATCATGTACCTGCATGTCACCAAAGTACAGGTAACACCCGCCGTTACCATGCCAACACCGTCCCCATCCCCCACCTCCCCAAACAGTCTCCCCTCTAATCTGTGCCCATCTAAACACAGCAGCCTAGTCAGATTAATGGCCTCCTTTCCCGTCCCTTTGCCCTTACACACTGTGTAACAATGAGCCACACCTTTTACCCTCCATAACCCAAACCCGGCATCCCAGTGTCTGCACATCCAGAGCTCGCCTTTCCGTGCAAATCACCCCAGTCGGGCTCATCCTGTCTCATGTCCCCTCCCCTTCAGTGCTTCCCGGGATGCCTCACCATTCGGATCAGAACCGCCCTGTGCGTATTCATAGTGCTCTTGCTCTACTCCGTCGCCCAGGCCTGTGTGGTAAGAACACAGAAGTCCCATGATCTAAGCCTCCACTGGCCGCAGTGACGCGTGTGTAACTCTAATTATTGCCTTTTAGTGCGATATTTCAGTTTTAATTCCTTGGTCGCCTTATTTATATGCATGTAATTCAGTGTCTCCCAACCCAGTCCACATTTATGCTCCCTCCCAGCTCCCAAGGAAAACCAAATTCCTGGTATGGGTGTACTGGGAGGATGTAACTGTACATGTTATGTCTCATACCCCCGATGTTCTGCCCCCCCCCCCCTCCTCCAAGGTGGGCTGTGTGCCTGGGCCGTGGGGTCGGAGCTCTCCCAGTTCCGTCGTCATCCTCGATGCCAGCGGTGCCAACCGTACCATGGCGGAGCTGCCGTGCGAGAGCGCCCCCTACGCCTTCCTGTCGTGCGGGCTGGGCACGCTCACCGTCGCCCTCTTCCTGCGCGTCTCCTGGCTGCCAAAGATGGCCCTGCTGCTCACCATCAGCGTCCTCTACGTTGCCGTGCTGGAGCTCAGCGCCTTCCGGAAGTCGCTGGGGTATGGGCCAGCCCGCTCCGCCGAATTAAGCGCCCTCGGCCGCCGTTTTCCGCATTGGGCCCGGCGTGAAATATTTCCTGCTATTTTAGAGGCCAACATATATAGCTTTCGGTTTATTCTTAAAAGAAGTCCATCTTGCAGTAGCTAAATCGGAAGCTGAAACCATGTAACTAAAGATAAGTGTTACCATGGCGACGAGGCCGTGCGCCAAGATGGCCGCGCGGCCTCCAAAGGAAGCGCTTCTCCAGACGTGCGAACGGAACTTTCTGTCCCTGTCTCACAGGGGCGGGGCTTTCCACCTCCGCGGCTACGAGCCCGTCCTCGCCCTCCTGCTGTTCGCCAGCACCTCGGCCCTGCACTCGCGGCAGCTGGACCTGAAGCTGCGGCTCGACTACCTGTGGGTGGCACAGGTGAGCCACGGTTACACCAGTTCACCCTCCACATCGCCGGCAGAGGAGTCATGGACGTGGGAACGAAAAACCAGCCACATGAAATGAAAGGATCCTCTATTTGCCCTTCCCGCAGTACATTACAATGCTGCTTTTCACATGTTGCTTTCCTTTGAGACTCATATGTGTATATACATTTTAGAGGGGGTTAAGGACATATGCCGGGACTCGAACCAATGACCTTCTGATGCCAGGCACAGTGACTGGAACTTGCCAACCCAAACCTCACCTCATGTCAAAACGGGGAAAGCACATCAGAAAATGGGCGTCAGGTCGCAGCGTGATTTTAGCTGGGTGAGGGGTTGGGCATCAAGGTCTGTGTGTTTATCGGGGGGGGGGGTGATTAGGAAGAAGGACATAGTGAAGAACCTGCAAGGGTGCTGGCTTTGCCCCTCCCCATTGAGCATCACCGTCAGACGCCCAGCTTCCCTTTATATGCATCCACACGGCTAATTCGGAGTAAGTCCTACATGCAGAGGAGCAGTGGATTCCTTCTGCAGCGCCACCTACTGGGCGGCAGTTTTTGCAGAATGAGGCTTTAGAATTAGCTACTTAAATGACAGCTGTTTAAACGACAGTTTGCTCCCTCTGTGTCTACGCCACGTCTATATTTGCAGTGCTGTGAGTCTACCTGCCGAGGGCGCCACTGCACCGACACCGGTGTGAGTGAGCCCCCGGAAGTGAACAGGTCAGAGCGTGACGCTGTATGAAGAAGCCCCCCACAGCTGTAATGCTGTTTCTATTTTCCTTTATTTAGTTTTGTTTATCTCCACTGCGTATCGCAGTATTTCATACATCCTCCCAGTAGGTGCCTAATCGTCCCAGGCGCAGGATTCGGTCCTTGCTGAGACTCAGCGACGGCTTTTGGGCCTGAATGGAGGTTTATCAGAGCTTCAGTCTTGTGTGGCAGCGGACGGCCAAGGGCCCGGGACGGTAGCCATACCCCATGTCACCCACGGTCACAGGGTGTTGTGGGCCGGCCTGTGCTAATGCTAACGGCGCGACAGGAAAGCCCCAGGGAGATGAAAGGACACGCGGCCAGGGGAACAGGCGCCGAGGCCCCCCCCCCCCCCCCAACAGGCCTTTTGATGTGTCGCACCATCCCTTGGCCACCTCCAGGGGGCCTTGGCGCTGATGAGTAGGGGGCCTGCAAACTGCCACGTTTGCTTTGCTGCTTCCTAAAACAATGGTGCGGTCCTGTCCGTCACCGTCACGCTCACGCATCCTGAGCCGTCCTGCGGCGGACCGGGGCCCGAACGCTGATCGATCCACTCGGTTTGCACTGTGAGGATAAACATAACCTCGAAGAAGCATAATCTCTTACTTCTCCTAATTCCAAAAGGTACAAAAGGTATATTTCACCTAGAGTCATTTTTTCTTAATTTGTCTCAAAAATCCCTCTTACGTTGCCCAGAACCCGTTTTGCCTACTTAAGCATTCCCTTCTTGATTACTGCCCTCTTGTGGTAATTAATGAGAACTACTTTGGAGTGTGATGTCATTTATTTGCCTGCATTTGAGGTTTTCAGACTCATCTAAAGACCCATTTTTTAAATTTCCCCTCCATATTTTTGGGATCTGACGCATGTCACGACTTGAGACTGCTGTCTTACCCCCCCACCCACCACTAACTGAAAACAGGACTTTTTTTTCTCCATTTAATTCAGATACTTTGTGCGTGGAAACACTTGTGTACAGGCTGCCTGTCATTCTTGATTGCATAGTATTTTTTAGCACACACTTATATCCAAAACGACAGCAATTTTTCAGAAAGAAGGATCAGATCCTGGAGAAATTGATGGTTAAGGGTCTTGTTCAAGGACCTAATGGTGTAATCACTTTGCCGATCTGGGATTTGAACCTGCGACCTTCCGTTCACCGGCACAAAATCTGAAGCTGGGAACATAAACTGGAGATTTATTCAGCTGTCAGATGCACCATATGTGTTTGTGTTGGCAGGCGGAGGAGGAGAGAGACGGGATGGAGAAAGTGAAACTGGACAATAAGCGGATCCTGTTTAACCTGCTGCCTGCACACGTCGCCCAGCACTTCCTGCTGTCCAACCCCAGGAACATGGTGGGTTCCGTGCTGGGTGCGTGATCCTCGCGGCAGCTGTTTCAGCTTTGCCTTGTTTTGAAAATATGCCGGGGACTGGATCCACAGGGGGGCGTCGCCGGGGCCCGTGGTTTGGTGACACGGGCCGTTGGGTCTGGGCCTGGAGACCTGCCGTCGGCCCGCCCGTGCGCTCGTTCCAGAACTCTCCGGGGCTTGTTTCGTTGCGAGCCGTTTTATGGAAAGTGACGGAATTCAGCCAAGCCAGCGGCCGCAGCTCCATGAAAACCTGCGTTTTTTTCTTGCAGCAAATTGCAGTTGGTCACACGCCTATTACGTCAGATGGTTTATAACCGCAGCGCCGTTTCGTTTAGCTAATATTTGGGTGTCTTGTCTGCCGGGGAGGCTAAATTTGGTGCAAACTGGTCAATAAACATGACAAGCATATGATAAGAGGCTAGGAATGTACTCCGCCTGCAAGCTTATGCCGCTGGTTCTCCATCAGGATCTGTACTACCAGTCCTACGCCCAGGTGGGGGTGCTCTTTGCCTCCATCCCCAACTTCAACGACTTCTACATCGAGCTGGACGGCAACAACATGGGCGTGGAGTGCCTTCGACTACTCAACGAGATCATCGCCGACTTCGATGAGGTGCGATCCTCACCTCTCCCAGTCTCTCACAGTCCTCCCATCCATCTTCCAAACACTAACCCTGGTCAGCATATCTGGTCTGGAAAAAGAATACAGCGTCTACCAACTGCATTTCCCAACCCAGTCCGTGGGGACTCCCAGACAGTCCACATTTTTGCTCCCTCCCAGCTCCCAGCCAATCAAGAACTTCGAATACCTTGGACAGGCGTTCTATGAGCTGGGAGAGAGCGAAAATGTGGACTGTCTGGGGCTCCCCGAGGACTATATGACATTCACAACAGCACTACAACACTTTATAATCTTCTATCTATACATCCATGTACCAAACAACTTAACCTGGTTTGGGTTGCAGTCTAGATAAAGGGATATATTTACAGGGAGAAGTTTAACACCCAGCTTATTTCGAGGAATCCTGGCATTCTGTCTGTACCAGTCCTGGGAACCTTCACTTCAAAATTTCCCTTCCAGTTTTGTAGCAACTTCATGCCCACCGTAGCCATCCCAACAAGTTGGTTTAACAGTCTGCTACAAAGGCTAACACGCGAGCCGCGGACATGCTAGGCCTGTGCTATTTTCAGAGCTGCAGCAGTGCCCTTATTCTGACATGCGACTCTCACTCTGCCCCACATGGCGTGCGTGTGGATGCCCCCCCCCCCCGTGCCACCAGACGCAGAACCACACCACAAAGGGGCTTTTTTTAATTTGTTTTTTTCCTCTTTTTTTTTTTTTTCCTTTAGCTCATGGACAAAGAATGTTACAAGGACATCGAAAAGATAAAGACCATTGGGAGTACATATATGGCAGCTGTGGGCCTGGTGCCGACTGTCGGGAAAAAGGTGTGGGTCTGTTTAAAAAAGAAAAACAAAAAAAAAAACACGTCCTGCTGGGAAGCACTGACACCAGGAAATGGGCGGGACTTCCTGTTACAGGCCAGGGCCTCACAAAAACAATCCACCATATCTGAGATGATTCATAAGTAAAATCAATTAGCACCCTGTATCACAAGCTTCCTTATCTAGGTACCTCCTTAGTGACCCCGATGGCATTTGAAGTTTAACACTAGAAATGTTTATTTCCACCTTACTTGAAGTAATGTTTGAGCAGGACTGCCGGATCTGTTGACGTTCGCTCGATGTTAGCACACTGCTTTGGTCATACCGATCTCAGTGATCTATCCACTGTCCGTCTCTAACCCTATAGGCGAAGAAGTCAACATTGTTGCATTTGAGCACAGTTGCTGACTTTGCCATCGAGATGTTTGACGTCTTAGATGAGATCAACTATCAGTCGTACAACGACTTCGTCTTGAGAGTTGGTAAGTGCCCAGGCTAGGACATCTGTACGCAGGATGAAAATATACCTTAAATTTCAGTGTGGTCCTTGCAAGCCTCTGAATACTCCAGTGAATTCGACCATTGGATTTTAGTGCGCTTCCCCTTCATTGGCTGTGGTGTGGTGATGGGCGTGGCCTCTCCTGCAGGCATCAACGTCGGCCCGGTGGTCGCAGGGGTCATCGGAGCCAGGAGGCCTCAGTATGACATCTGGGGAAACACTGTCAACGTAGCCAGTCGCATGGACAGTACCGGGGTACCAGGGAAAATACAGGTAGGTTGCCATTTCAGATGTATTGTTTATATATTACTTTCTCGTTGTATATACTATTGTCTCTGAGGTACATTCAAGATAATTACATCCGTCATCTGTGCATTTAGCTACCATGTCTGTGCTATCACAGTTAATAGTTTAAATTAGTGAGGACAGGGGTGGTGCATGTAGGGATAGTTGTTGCTAATCTTTTTGCCAAAGATTAGTTCTCAAATGGGATTTTAGAAATCGACAAATATTAATTCAGGTTCAGGATGGACGCTATGCGATTTGGTGACATATTCTTGCCTATATGTGAAGAGTCACTTGCTGAGTGTGCCGTGTACCGTGTATACGTCCGCCATAGGTGACGGAGGACGTGTACCGCATGCTCAAGTGCAGCTACGACCTGGTGTGCCGCGGCAAGGTCAGCGTCAAGGGCAAGGGCGAGATGCTGACCTACTTCCTGGAGGGCAAATCCCAAGGCTCGCACGGCTGCTCGTCCAGCCTGACCCGCGGGACGCACCCCTGTGGACGGCCCAACAAGCAGCAGGCCAGGCTGGGGACCAGCTGCCCCTCGGTGTCATCCGTGGCCAGCTTCACGGTGCGCGCTGGTCTCGGGACCATCCAGACCGGCTCGGCGAACAGCTCGTCTGCGGCGCTGTACCTGCCCTCCGGCTCACCGCCTACCAGGGAGGATGAGTGACCAGTGTGTCTGGATCCCTGGGCCCAGCCGGAGAAACGGCTACATCTCCAGCTCCGCCTGTTAAACTCACCAGAGGGTCTTAGGCTCCTGCACAACCAAGGGCCCCTGCAGTCCGACCAAAGAGAATGCAGGGCTATGATCTTACCGCGAAGAAGCTTCTGCACATGCAGTGGTTACAGGGCCTTTTCGGCTGGAGGCTTGTCCTGAAGCAAGACTGAGAAGTGGATTTCGGAAAAGTATCGTAATCTGGTGTGACAAGTTGATAAGCCAGCCGTTACGTCACATGGCAAAAGATCGGCTCACTTATGTCGTGCGGCCCAATGCCAACCACTCATCCAAGGAACCAAGTAACGCTGAAGACCCAGAAGCAAACTCACAGTTGAGTGTAGAAGCATGTTTCTGACCCAAAAAATTGCATCTAACACTTTTAGTTGTGTAGTTAGCACTGATAAGCTTACCTACCCAGAATGCCACTAACTATTAGTTAGTCTACTTGACTATAGGTTTCCACTGATATATTACTGTGTGTAACCTCCTCAGTTTCATCTCCCCAGTTAAAAAAAAGCACTTTTTTCTCACGTCATTCAAGCCTAATCGTCATGCCAACCAGTGTGTTTTGGGACCATTCCTTACTAATGCCAAGGCAGAGGTTTACCATTTCAGGTCTATGAGGTCGGTGTGTTTTTGATACCAGAAGATGTATTTATGGGTATCTAAGAAAAGAGTATTTTTTTGTATGTATGGATGTTTGTGTGCATGTGCTTAAACCTGAATTGTACTGAGCAAGGATTGTTGGTAGCTGGACAGACGTCTCGGAAAAACCATCCTTACTTCGCCCTCCCCACCAGGCTGATCTTGGTCCTCCCGATAGATTGGCTTCGACAGTCGCTGTCCGACCGCGATCCTGCCTTAGAACACTCTCGAGAAAGGGATTATCTCAAATGAAAACAAAGTGGAAAATTAGTCATTTGTAAAAAAATAGCAGCTCCATGCTTTATTTAATTAAATTAACTATCCGGATAAAAACAGCTCAGCGAATAATCCAAGAGGCCAGCTTTCCTGCGTGTGTAGAACTTAAATTTAAATAAAAGGCTTCAGTGGTATTGTTTGGTAGCTATAAGAAGGCAAGCGTGTTAGAACATTAACCAAAGCGAGGTGTTCTCAAGACCTTTACACTCTCTGGGAAGGCGAATCATGATCTCACTGAGGTCATTTGCAGTTCTTGCTGGTTCTGCTTGTTCTTGACATGCTGGTTATGAGTTTCGGAGTTTTTTTTTTTTTTTTCCCTTCATTTTTTTGGGACTTTGAATCCATCTGTGGATTTAATCAGTTTTATGTGGCATCAGCATGTATTTTAATAGGCTGTAGCTCCTGCCATGATGGGGCCTGACTCGCCTACTGAGGGAGGGGGGGGGGGCTCCTTGGGTGGCCGTGTCCCAGGCTTCGGCTCCACTGATGGGGAGTTGGGGCACACACCACATAGGCACGACAGAGTGGGAATGTTTCTGACTCACAGAGCAATGCCCCCACTACAGCGGGGGCGGATGCCGCACCTTCTGAAGGATCTGCTTATTTCCCAACCATGCCCTGTTACGACATCGTACAGGAGAGCCACGATAACGGGTTAGGTAACAGCGCAGCGTCCTGATTGGCCATGTCAGGTGCACCGCACTGTGTTTGGAGCTCGGGTTTGTTTGGATGCTACGTGATGCTCGGCTCTTGCTCCGGTAACCTTTACTGGAACGCCGAACACGGCAAAATCCCATGCTAGGCCAAGGACCAGTGTCTCGTCCTCCATTTCATGCCAGCGGGTTGGTTGTTTGTCGTGGCAGGGTGGCCTGTTATGTTACAGAGACACCTGACAGACCAGTTTAAAGCCTGTAGCAGTCCTCCAGATTGGGGGGGGGGGGACACTGGTAATGCCACCCCCCCTCCCCCTCCAAAAAATATATGTTGCTTAAGTCAATCAATTTCTGTCATATAACAGCTAAATTCATTTCGAAAAAGCTACATATGAAAGTGAATAAGTAAATAAGTATCTTGCCTTATTTTAAATGTAAAGTGATTACAATGTTTGCCTTTTAGACAATGACTTAATTATGCAGACAATTATAAGAAGCTATACATGATGGATTATATGACAACGTCAAGTAATGTTACTCAAGCTTTTCTAATCAATATATTATTGTTGTACAACATAAATATATAAAGATCTTTTACGTGAACCAGAGTGAAATACTTTTATGTCTTTGAAGCTTCAATGCCTTGATATTTAACTTTATCGTTGTTTTCAGGAATTTAAAAGCATAAATTACTGCAAATAACTATTAATGACATTCTATTTAAATGATTTAAATTTGATTATGAAAGTTTAAGTAATACAAAAAAATCTATGTTGTTAAAATGCCTTTTTAATATTTAATAATTTTGTATATTTAGTAAAATAATTTTAAAAGCATACTTAAAGGATGCCAATATGATAGGATAACTTTATTTTGTTACAAATTCTACGCAGTTAAGTTACAGGTATGTTTTAGTTTTTTAAAAAGTAGCAATAACCTATCTATATAGAAGCTGTAGCCATTCCGTGTTCTAGTATTGCGTTAAAACGGTAAATGAAACAAAAGGTGTTTTATATCGTGCTGTACGAAATCAGATGAAATCGCGCTATGTTACGGCATGCACAAGATTCCGTCTATTACTCCGTGTCCGGAAGCACTCCGTCGCACATTGAATATGAATTATACATTTTAAGATTTTGTCAGAGTTTAGTATTGCAGTTTAACGTACAGGTCCTTTTCCATATCGTTAACCTTCCTTTCAGTTATTTCAGGGGAGAGGACAAATGCAATGCTTTCAACTAGTTCAATTTTAAGCGTTTCGAAAAGTTCCAGATTCGGTTCTTCACTGAGCCACGCAAGGCTGTGAAATGGATTTGCTGACAAGTTACTTCTTTATAGCAAATACACCTTGTACTTGCTCATGGCATTGTTGTTCCCTTTTTGCCAACACATATTTCTGAATAAGGGTAGCCTAATTAAGTTTAAAGACACATCAGAGGAGCCAAAAATATTTACGTTATGTTCCCTGCATGTTTGCGATGTTTTAAACATAGAGGTGCAAACACGATAGGCGAAGCACTACATTACTGTATATAATATATATATTTTTCGTTTGTATTGCTTCTTGTTATATTTGATCAATAAATCTTTGTTATACAGTACAACCGTGCTTCGATTATCTGCTTTCTTTTGTGTCATGTGTTCGTTTCTCTGAATGCGGTATTCTGAATATATAGGCCTATTAATCTTCTTTATACACGAATATCCGGCCAAAACATTTTTCTTTTTCCAGATGTGAAGTTCTTATTAACGTTACAAACCCATATTAATAATAATGTCATTTTCATAATGTTTGAAGTGCAATAATTATTCACTTGAGTGTTGCTTAGTTTTTCTATATAATATGCAAGACATTTAATTAATACAACTATGGCACAGGTATCTGAATACCATTTTAATTAAGAATAATACTGTATGCACGCATACAGTATAATTCTAGAATCTTGCATTTGCAAAGCCCTCAACTAAATAGTTACGTGTTTGTCCAAGGTCTGACAAAACCTCGCTCTTAAGCTGAGTGAACACCTGAATAGAAGAATTGGTCACTTCTGTACCACTAAGGCCCAGACTGTCGATAGATACCTTTGCTTTGTATTAAGCACCAGTCTTTCCGAGTGGCTTTAGCATGCTAGAGACCAAACTAGCATGCTAAAGCCAGACCGCAGGAACACAGCCAACTGACCTTGGGAAGAGCAAGTCTCTGTAGACATAACTTTGCCTTTGGGTTCTGATGCCGGCATCACAGAGTGATAATGATCATATGAATAGGAATAATTTGGGGAGTATTTGGGAAATTTTGGGAACTTAAACATCCCCCTTTTGTCCATCGTAATACAACATTTACACTGAGAATTATCTTAAAGAAAAACGCTGTAAAGAAAGAGAAAATGGAAACGAATCATTATTGCTTTTCATTTTGTTTAAATAATAGAAATCAGTCTGCTTCTAAATGGACTGCAAAGCTGGAACAAGGAGCAGCAAATCAAAAGTATTTATAGGACCTTAATTAGCTGTTCGAGCCGTAAATCTGTACAGTACCAAAATTAATGTCATGTGCATCACTCTTTAGGTACATGCTGTGAAATAAAGGGAGAACAGGCACACAAACATTAGTACTACCTGTGAATGGAATGCACCTAATTAGCAGCAGGTGAAAATAATCACTACCCCCCCCAATTTGCTTTGAGTTGCAGGTCACAAAACCCACTTGCATCACACCGACAGTGATTGCTGCAACAACCATAAAACCAGGGTCACCTTCCTTATATAAATAGTAAATTACTTACAGCAGACTACTGGATTTGTGTTGTGTTTTCGACAAATGGATTTGTGTTGACTTTTCCACAAAAGCAAACAGCAGAAGTTGGTCAATGACTTCTCTGAGTCCATGTAAGTAATAAGGGTGAATGTTAGGTCAGAATATTTCATTGTACCGGCTGTGTACCAGCTCTGAGACACGTTATTTGGAAAAATGCAAAAACTCACATAATTGCCAGACACAATACTTAAATTTCATTTAGATTAATTGGTATACTAGAAGTTAATCAGTTTCAGTTAACTGAACCTCTTGCACTAACCCGTGATGTTGGTAGAACTAGTTATTAGTGCATGGAGAGATGGCTGTCGCATGGTTTTTAACCAGTGCATTTGACCATCTGCCTGATTTTTTTTTTTCTCCAATTGACTCGCTGAGATTTTCACACAGATGAGGTTAGCACGAGACGAAGACCAGCGTGTAAAACAAAGCTTCAGGGGGCAACACAGGTCATTCGCAAATGCTGCAAAATCACAGCTTACCAACATCTGATATTAAAGCGGAATGCACTGGTCGCTTCACTAATCTCACTGCAGAATGAGACCTGAGAGGGACTATCGAACTACCGGGGGTCGTTTTGAATCACATTACTGCAGTGCCTGTTCAATTGCTGATTTGCACGTTCACACCCTTTATGGCCAGGTGAGCTGAATTAGTGGCCAAGTAATGACCAATCAGATTAAGGCATGGCCCAGCAAAATGAAACGAGATCCAGCATGTTACATGGGCCCAAGACTAGATTTACTCAACTATTCTAACCACCAGCTACACCAGACTAATTATATTCTCCTGTAGGGCTTAAATGAAAAATTCTTAACTGCAAATTAAGGGATCCTCTAAGCCGAAGAAGGATCTTAGACCCTTGCAAGAAACATGTATGGTCTAGAACCCATTGAGGAATGCGAGGAGCCTGAGGAAGACTCGTTCTTGATGGTGCGCCGGCCCAGCAGAAGGTCCCACTCCCTAGTGAAACACAGCACCCCCGCCCAGCCTGAGGAGTCCCGCTTCACTGTCGGCAGTGACCTGGCGGGGACCGAGACCGCCAGCAGTGACTTCTCCCAGGCCACCAGGTCTAGGAGGACCTCTCCAGGCCGTGTCCATCCCACACCACTGCCCTCTGTAGAGGAAGGGGGGGACTCCGGAAGGAGCCATTCCGTATCCTCGTCACACCTTCAGGTGGACGTGTCACGAGCGGCAGAGGATGCCCCGGAGGCTGAGGAAGCAGAGGATGCCGGGACGTTCCCAAGGCAACCATCTGAGGAAACCCCCACCCAGACCGTCAGCCCCTCTTTGATATATGACGCCTTGGAGGACACCGCAGATACCCCGATGGATGTAGGCACCCGTGGTCCCGAAACTCCCTTAAAAAGGGTTTATCTGCAAGTTGGCAATGTTGCATTGCAGATTCATTTACATCTCTTTCCCTCAAGGTCTCTGGAAAGCACAGAAAGGCCCAACCTATACGGAGAAAGAGAATGAGATCTGTGGATCATCAACTTCCTCCAAAAAAGAAGAAAAGGGCTGAGAGAAGTGTAAATCGGCAGAGGAGCGGAGGCCATATCTTTAGAAATAATATCCTTAGAAAAAGCTCCACTGAATACAAATGACCGTAAAGTGTACAGGCATAAGATGACTGACCTTCTTTCCCCAACAGGGGCTTGAAGTACCAGAATGGCTGATTACTTTGATGAAGGACATCGAAGACGCAACGAAACATGAACTGGTCATCGAGTAGCTCTGTAGGCTGTAAAATAAGTCTCTCTTTAGGCTACGAGATGTTTTGCTAGTTTTAAGTTTGAGGTTTGTCAAAAAGCAGAACCCCAGCCGTGTTGGGTCAGATCTACCCCCTTCTGGGGGCCTCGTGTTTTTGACACAACCTGACCTTGGGAATAAAAAACTGTTTTGTCTCGTCTTGCTTAACTTTCATACATTCAGAACATGGTGGTACGATGCTCTTTTGTGTTAATCATTCACTACTGTGTTAGAAAAATAGGAATGTCTGCATAAAAATACTGGCTGGACTTTGTTTGCATGACCATATCACATATGGGGAGATTAAAACGATAAACTAATCCGCAAGTGCTTTGCATCCACTGGCTACCGAATGAATATTAGTGCAGGAGCAGTCTAACAATCCATTTTGGTGTGGACTGATGATACACCACTGAATGACAAGTGATTTCCTAGAAGTCAAATTACAGCCTGATAATACTGTACGTATGTATGTGTGTGTGTGTATATATATATATATACACAGAGAGAGAGACAGAGCAAATGATATTTGCATATATTGCTAGAAAATACTTTTTACTTTCCCTGGAAATATTCACTACACCGATGCACTTGTTTACCCTAGATAAAAGCATAACACGCTGTTGGTAATACTACACCAGCTAATTAGTAATTATAATAAGGGACCTTTCATTGAGTATAAGGCACTACACTTAATCTAGGCCTTCAGACATCAGCTTGCAGAGATAGGTTCCCTCGTCAAAAGACAACAAATAACGGAAGCAGAAAATAAGGTCAGTTCTCCTGATTCATTTTATGATTTCTTTAGTCGCATCTGACCGCGAAAACGCAAGTCACCGTTAACAAAACGGGTGACGCAGATGCTAGCGAATAAACACAGAAAATTATTTTTCTTGTACATGAAAGATCAAACACTGTTGTTTTCGACGTGGAGGCACTTATCTCGTCCAAAGTAAATATTGACGTTAAATTCAAATACGCCTCTGACCGGATCTACGCAAAACAGTCACAGGGCATGTAATCGTTACACCTTCTTTTACAAAATAATACCAGTAGCAAATGCATCAAACATTAACATCCCTGGAGGTCATAGATCTGTATAAATACCTGTACGCGTTGAGTATTATTGGTTATAATCGTTAACGAAGGAAATCTGTTTAAACGGGGATCTGATTTATTTTTGCAACCCGCAGCTATGAGGGGATTGTTTCAAAGGTGGCTGTGCGTCTTGTTTTTGGCAGGGGTGCGGGGCTCGCCCTTTTTAGCAGCGGGGCCAATCCGCTGCGCACCGTGCACGCCGGAGAAGCTGCGCGACTGCCCCGCCGTGGCGCCGGGCTGCGCAGAAGTGCAGCGCGAACCGGGCTGCGGATGCTGCAGCGTCTGCGCCCTGGCCAAGGGGGAGCCGTGCGGAGTCTACACGGCGCACTGCGGCACCGGCCTGCGCTGCACGCCCAAGCCCGAGGACCCACGGCCCATACACACCCTCATTCACGGCCAGGCCACCTGCACTGAATACACTGAGAGCCAAGCCTCCCAGAGTCCAGGTAGTGCAATGCAGGCCAAATGCGTCTTTGCGCCTGTCCCGCTCGCTTTGCGCATCGTCGCTCAGCGTAGCTCACTCCAGATCAGCAGCTACTGACCGTGGGCACTGCGGATTATATAGTGTCTTGTATTTTGGGATTCGCACGGGAAATCAACTGCGGAGATCTTCGTGAAAATTATTGCGGACAAACGCATATGTGTCTGCCGCGATTGTAATCATCCGCCTTAATGTGGGGCAGGTGAATTTACGCAGAGTAAGAAAGCCGAAATTAAATAGCATTCCCCGCCTGCAGGTGATGCCGAAGTCAACGTCGAGGTAGCGCTGGACTACGGCTCCGTGCTGTACATGCTGTCCGAGGACAAGCCGACCGATCCTAAGGATCTCGCGGACGCCCAAGAAAGCATTAAAGCCAAGATCAACGCAATTAGAAATAAACTGGTGGAGCATGTAAGTATCTCTGTTAACCGCCTGCGGATCCTGGTATTGTGCAGGGTGCAATCCAATGGCTAGAATGCTTTCATTGGCTGAACTGTGGAAATGTTGTCTGTATTTCATTGCTTATACAGCATTTGTGCAAACTAAAAGCTAGATTCTCTCAATAGGGTCCATGTCACACTGAGCTACACAGGGCCCTGGACAAGATTGCAACAACCCAGTTTAAACTGGGGGATAAATTCACCACGTTTTACCTCCCCAACTGCGACAAGCACGGCTTCTACAAATCCAAGCAGGTAAATGTTGCGACGCAGCTTCAGTTCCAGTGTGCGCCTGTGGTCTTCTAGCTAGTTAACAATATGGGGCCTCTCTCTCTCTCTCTCTCTAACCCCCCCTCCCCCCGCAGTGTGAGACGTCTCTGGAGGGCCAGGAAGCCCGCTGCTGGTGTGTGTCCTCCTGGAATGGGAAGAGACTCCCTGGGACCAGTGACCTACTGGGCCAATCTGACTGCCAACAGGAAGTCGCCCACTGAATGTGCCCTGACATACGCACACGCAACGCACACACACGCAACGCACACACACGCAACGCACACACACGCAACGCACGCACATGCACGCTTGTTTTTTTATTTATTCAGTATTATTTTAAATCTTTGCACATTGTGACACTGATTCTCGATTAATCTTTTAAAATGGAATTTAATCTTATATAAAGCACATCATTTTATTTATTAATAGCACATGTGCACATTTAAGTATTGCATACTTACACAAAGATGTATATAATATACTTTTTTATTTTGTACAAAAAAACAGACCACATCTGTGTTCTTACCAAACAGCTCCATGAGAGGGCATCACGCCTGCAAGCTAAACCAAACTCTGTATCCGGGTCTTTTGCGTTTACACTTCTGTACCAATGCAGCCACGATGAACGTGTTCTCAGTACAACACATCAGCTGGACTGGAAAGTGCCGGTTCAACTCGCAGGTTTCAGTTTTGCGATCTGGCCGCCAACCTCACGGGGATACCCCACTGTCTCACGCGCGATGTTTTGTTTCAAACGGGTTTGTCCACTCATCTACCTCCTATGGCCATTTTTGTTTTTTTGGTCAGTTGTCTGGATTACATTGTAAACAAATGCCTGTCCGAATGTATCCACCAGGAACCTTGTTATTGTCGTTTTGTTCTCTTTTATCGAGTCTCAGATGGAATTTTGGCAAAGTTACTTTGTTTCAGGGAAATGTGAAGATGCTGCTCCACTGGGCCGTTCCTGCTGCTTTGCTTGTCCATAAATGGTGTGATTATATCAACACATGTAACATTATATTTAATAAATTTTAAGCTACATCCAAAGTATGGTGTTTTTTATGCAGCAAAGCCAAACTATGGTCTTTAACAATTTGGACTAGTGTTTCCCAACCACCAGTCCCGGTGGATCCCCCAAGCAGTGCACATTTTTGCTCCCTTCCAGCTCCAAACACCTGTACCAGGTATTCGGTGCTGCTGATTGGCTGGGAGCCGGTAGGGAGAAAAAATATAGACCCTGGGGATCCCTATGGACTGGGTTGGGAAAGACTTAGATAACTATGCGCATCACCAAGATCTTCTGTAAACTCAATGTTACTGGTCACTCACTGGAATCTCAGCCTAGCTTATTTGAACTTCTCCGCCTGACTTGTAGGTCACTCTGAACAAGAGTGTCTACTAAATGAGGATATGTAAATGCAAACTATCATATGGAAAAATATATTATAATACACCAGCAGATTACACTCCACTAGCCAGGCATTTTAACTAAAAATAAATATTCTTCAGAAACGTGTGGATCAGCAAACTTTTCTAATATCACTTAAAGAGCGACGTGATGAGTGTTTATTCCTGCGAGTTCCCAAATACGTCACAAGTGGCAGAAATGGAGGGATTCGTTTCTGGTTTACAGGTGATTTTATTGCCAGCTGGCTGCCGCTATGTTGCGTGAGCAAATGAAGAGAAGAACTGACAGGCGGGAAGACGAAGGAGGGTCCTCGGCGAGGAGGGAACGGGTCCTCGAATTTCCCCAAGTCTGGTTTTCCCCGCACAGAAACAAACATGGCAATGGGGTGGAGGACCTTAACACCGTAAGCTCACACACCAGCGGGCACCCAACCCAGAATGAAGGCACATGTGGGTTTCTGGAGCGAGGGGGTTTCCTTCTCCAGCTGCAGTAAACTGCGACTCTCGCATGACACGCGAACTGAACCTTTCGCTCCCACTGGGTGGGTCCTCCTTAGTTTCCATGGCAGTAAGTCGCAGTGGACCACTGCGTTTCCCTCTGGAAGGTCCCTGAGGGTGTCCTGCGAATAGTCTGGGGACCAGGCCAGTCCGGCACTCGCGCTCACCCTGACCGCACTTCCCACATGCAACCAAAGGGGGTGCAATGGCACATCCTTTCTTGGGGAGCATCTCTGAAATGATGAGGGCTAAGTGGACAGGAAGTAGCTACAGAATTACAGTTTAGGCCCATTTCTACCAGCATACATATATATTTCTGTATATATATATATTATACATATATACACGCACACAAATATATAGTAAATGCATTTTTAAAGTAATTAAATTGTGAAAAATCAAGTGACAGGCTGGGGTAGGTGTGGGGGGGGCACAGGCGTGTGTTGCTAAGGTAACAGCCTGTACACGCCGTCTGCCGAAGGCCGAGGTCGGAGTGCAGAGAGCTGGCAGGGACTGCATCTTCCACGGTCACTGGACTGCATCTTGAACCCCCTCTGCAGGCATTTTGGCAGGAGAAGTGTTGTGTGTGTGTGTGTGTGTGTGGGGGGGGGGCACCTAGCCAAGATCTCCAACCAGTGCCACATGCAGCAGTCTCTGAAACCATCTGACGTGTGACCATTCCAGTTCCCGGCGTCGTCTCAGGTGAAAGAGACGTACAAGGGCCCAAAAGCACACAGAGGCACACAGATCTTTCAGCTTCCACAAACAGGAAATGTCCGCCGCCCCTACTGACCTCCCCCCACATCCAGTTCTTAATGACAAAGTGAACTGATACCTTTTGTCTACACAAGACATCGTTTTGACTGCGACTCAGTTTTAGCCACTGGCTGACTGAGACTTACGCCCCCCCCCCACCCAACCTCCTCCGCCTGCAGTTCTATTGGCTGGGGAGATCCAGCCAATGGTGTGGGAGAGGCAGGCAGATCCTTCAAAAGTTTATGTCTCTGGTCCTGAGTCATGTGATGCTGCCTCTCACTTGTTATCCAGACCTTGACATTGTGTGCCGTCCTTTTTGCTGCCGTCAAAGCCCGGTAGGGTCTGCCCATATCTGTCCACGCACCAACATATCCCTCGCTTCCTGCCCTTGGATGGGCGGCACTGGAACAGAGAAAAAAATGGGGAAAAAAAAGGTAATTCAACCCGACTGATGCCCAGTGCTAACACGCTTGTCACTAAAAACGAACAGGCTGCAATGGGTTGGTGCCCCATCCTGAGTTATTCCCTGCCTTGTGTCCGTAGCTTCTGGGATAGACTCCGGACCCCCACAACCCTGAATAAAACAAGCAGGTATAGAAAATGGATGGATGGATAGATGGGACAGATGGATGGAAACGAAGAGGACAAATGTAAAGGATTGATCTGTTAACTAACCGTAAGTGAAATGTCTGAAGTCGTACTTTTGACACGGATATCTTTCAATGACCATATGTTTGAACTTAGAAAAAAAAAATTCATGGCCTTATGCAAAGACATTTATATTCAGATGTGTGTCCATCAAGCAGCAGAATTTGGGGCCAGGTTTGCTGTGGGTTAGGCCATCATGTCATCCTAGAAGGTCAGGATGTAGGTTTAAGTTTCCCTGCCTCCTTCACCTTCAGCAGAACCTACGGGCCAAGGGCCTGCGTCTGAGCGTTTGGCTCCTCCTGTTCTACTCCAGGTCTCCATTCTTGGGCCGAAAGGGGTCATCATGGTCCTAGCAGAAGGGCCGTTTTTTTTTTTTTTTTTTTTTTTTTACAAAAACAGCCAAAAGTCAACAAAAAAAAAAATCAGCTAAAATATTTGCCCTGGTCCATTTGCGGACTGCTAAGTCCATCTATCTATTTTAACTAGCTGGCAGGCATTCAAAATAATTTGTTGCTTATTTTACCTGTCAGTGCAAAAAATTACAGGCGCATACGGAGATTTACAGAGTTACTGACAGAGACCGTGTGACCCGTTTTTTTAATAATGTATAGCGTGATGAATTCCAGCACTCCTGGGAGACCGAGGGGGGAAGCAAAGGTGTCAGGGCCGAGCAGGCGAGACCCAAAGGTGTTAATGAGTTTGCATCTTGATGGCTAATGAATGTTACATTGTTACCTTATTTTAAGCATTTTAAATAGCCCTTTTAAGATGTCCCAGACCTCCCGTCTGCCTGGAGAAGTCAGGTATTTGTCAGCCTTAACGATTTCAGTCTGCATGGCTCCAGATTTCCATGCACTGATGATTTTACGGGAGGATATTTCAGCGTTCCTCCGAAGGGGGGGGGGGGGGGG